GGGGGCGCCTAGTACTAGTACTAGTACTAGTACTAGTACTAGTACTAGTACTAGTACTAGTACTAGTACTAGTACTACTACTACTACTACTACTACCACCACCACTACCGCTACCGATACCACGACCACGACCACGACTATTGCCACTACCACTACCTACGACTCATCCTCCTGCTGCTGCTCCTACTCTTTCTGCTACTACTACTGCTACTACTGCTACGCAGTACTACCACAGCTACCAGTACGACTTAATACGACGTCGAGCAGGACCACGACCACGAAGACCGCACCGCCACGGTCACCGTCACCGGCACTGCCACCGCCACCACCACCACCACCACCACCACCACCACCACCACCACCACCACCACCCTACCCATGTTGGCATTGCAAAGGCATCGTTGCAGCGGCTGCTATATGAAAAGGTTTGAAAGCAGCAACAGGTTTTATGTTCACTCGACTATGCGCCCAGAACTTCGCCTGGCATGTCCGAGTGTGAGCGTGCGCGAGGCCCCGTGAAGCCCCTTGCCTTGACTCTGCGAGGCCAACAGCGCGAGAGCACGGCAAGGAGCGATGCCTTGAAAAGGCTTCAGGGCCTGGAGATCCGTGGCCCATTTTATTGCTCTGCAAGGGTTTTGGGGTGTGGGGCATCTTGTGTGGGTTCGGTTCGTTTGTCGTTCTTCCTTCGCTCTTCTTGTTCTGGGAATTTGGGGTATCTGTGTGGCCCCGGGCATGTGGATTTAAGGCTTTTGGGCCCGGGGTTCGGACGTCGATGGCTATAAGGGCTGGGTGTGCTGGAGTCCCTATATATACGTGTTGGCTTGAGGGTTTGGACTGTTCTCGGGCTCTCTGGTGAAATTTCGCGCCGCGTCGGGATTTGATCGTGGAGTGTGGCTCAGTATGGAGCAGAAAGAGCACTGACCTTTTTCCAAGCTGCCCAGGTTTGATATGATAGGTGGTGTTGCCGCGGTGAGCTGAAGCTGTCGGACATATATCTGCCAAAGGACCCTGAACCGCCTAAGCCTAAGCTTATACCCCGAACCGACAGCACCCAACTCCTCCAACCCCCCGAAGCCCCAGAAACCCCAAAATCCAAAAACCCTACACCCTGCCTCATTCCCCACCCATCCCCACCTTGCAGTTTCCGAGTTGGCCAGAAAAAACGGTAAAGCCTAAACCTTCCTTTGAGCGCCAGCAAAGAGGCCACCAAAAAACCATCGGAAGCCCATAGAACCCTAATAGTAACCCATATAGATCCCTTTTAAGGAACCCTTAAAGAAACCCTATGCCAATTATCAAGGCCCCTATATTATAGAACCCTTCTAGTAACCCCTCGAAGCCCAGGATCGATGTTCAGAAGGTCCGCAGCCATCTGCCGATCCTCTTCGCCCCATCCTCTGCATTCCGATAGGGCAGAAGTAGGAGGGAACTGGAGGGTCCCAAGTCCACCTTGGGAGATGTTCGGCTAGGAAGGAGGGATCTTCTCAAAAATCGTTGTTTCGGGCCCGCGGTCCCCAAAAAAAAGCGGGTCAGTGTGACATTTCAGGATGCTACTACGTAATATCTTCTATGCTGGGGCCCTCGATTTCTGAAACTTCTACATCGAAGCCCAGTTCGGGAAGCAGCTGTACATGCGTGCGGCTTCGCACGTCTTGCCCATAAACAATTCGGATTCAGACGGTTTTGTGGATTATGCCGTGCAGGGAATTCATGTAGTTTTATTGGCACTCTGTGCATTGTTCAGTAATTTGCTTGCAACAGTCGTTGGCCGAAGCCGGCCACTGACACAATTCGAGTTGGCGGTCAGCTACCTTCCTTGGAGCTCTCCGTTCTCGATGCGAGCCCGATTCCTGCCACTGCAAAACAAAGGCGCGTGCTACTCATCAGTCAGATGACAGTGTGCGACACTTGCAGAGCACTGAAGCCTTGCAGGCGGAGTGCGTGATGTGCAGCTATTTATTAGTCCCTTGCGAGTTCATGGATTGTCATGGATAGCGTAGAGTTGCTATGTGACCTGAGATCATGACCTGCAAGTGAATAAATCTGGTCCGACAGCATTCGACACCACGACGAACAACTTCACCAGCAGCAGCAGGAGCCCCGGCAGCAGCAGCAGCAGCAGCAGCCCCGGCGGCAGCAGCAGAAGCAGCAGCAGCAGTTCAGCGTCGTAGACCTCCCCGAAGAAGCCACAAGCAACCGAGCCAAAAACCCGATGGTCCGAATTATCAGAATTGTGAACCGAAACTTGTTCCCCTTAAAAACCTAAAGGGGTAGCAAACGCAACACCCTGCAACTACTCTCAGCTCTAGAACCTTAAAGCCTGGAGCCCTGCAGCCTAAATCCGGCGTCATGATGGCCGGCGATGGCGGATTCAGCTCCTGGTGGTGTCTCGACGAGGCACCGGGACGACAGCTGCCAGTGGAGAGGACGCGCGTGGTTCTGCAGGTGCTTCCAGGTTTCTTCAGGAGCATTCTCTTGTCTGACCTCCGAACGATTTAAAGCACTTACCACTGCATGTTCAAACTGGATCGAAAAAAGCACATCCCAGTGGCAAGATCATGCCAGAAGGATTGGGTTGAGATGTGTGCTGTTGCTGTTTGCTGGGGATGTGCCTGCAAGTCTGCTTGAACAGCCGAAGCGTCAAGCCTTTTGCTCAACTCTCAACTTCTGTCCCTGCACTTTTCTAGATCGCACTGCTACATCTTGGGGAGGCGTGTGTGCAGCGCAAGAACTGCTACTAATCCCTTCGTGCCAGCCGCCCAAACTCTGAACCCTACAAAAGCCTCCCACTCCAAGCCCGGGGCATCCTGGTATCTGAGACCGTCAACTTCGGCAAACTCGAAGACCCCATTAAGCAGAGTACCTCGCAACTCCAGGCCCTTCGGAAACGTGAGATGGCTTTGACGAAGCCGAATCCCTTTTGGGTTTAGGGTTTAGAGTAGGTTGGGCCTTACAGTGAGCGAGTGTGCTGGGGACCGGGCTGCTGTGTACGAGGCCTGCTGTAAAAGGGTAGGTTGGAGCCCTTTAGACCGGAGGACTTGGATCGTGCGACATCTCAACCCGCTGCGGGAGCAACGAGATCGATCCTGTGACTTTGAGGCCCGATGCAGGGAATCTTTGGGGCGTGCGTTTCCGGTTTCAGTTCATGTTTGGGTGCGCCAGACTTTGTATTTTGCTTGATTAAGTATGTTGGTTTGGGTTCAGAGTTCCTGGATCCTTGAACCCCGCAAAACTTTAGTGGCTCTTAGTATTTTCGGGCACCAGGGCTCATCAGAAGTTCCACTTCACAGTCTGCCGATACTAAATGATGGCATGCCGACCCATTCAACTCAAAATCGCATGATCAAGTGTAGGATCCATAGTATAGGAACGTCGAAAGGCCGTTACCAGCGTGGATCGCCAAACAGTAACAGCGACCATGACGACCACGGACCACGACGACCAACCACGACCACCAGAAAATCAGCGAGACCACCGGGAGAACTGCCAAAAATGCATTGCCTCTTGTACTAGTGGGATTTATATTGTGCCAAAAGCCTTCCCCCAGATTATTCCCTCAAGTCCTGTCAAAATTCAGAGATTTTCAATTGGCCAATGCGTAGGAATCTACAGTGGATCTTGGCATTCCGGAAGATGCGGACGCACGGATCCTGTGCAGATAGCAGCATGTGAGCGCAAACAATGCAGCGCCACACTGCGGGAGCCACGTCCCGAAAAATCGACCGGCGGGTGCGCCCCGCGGCTCACAGGCCGATTCTCTATACGGGAGTTTCCGAAAATTAGGGGCACCTTATTTTGGGGTCCTTATAATAAGGATCCTACTATTGAGGGTACTATATTAGGGTCCCCCATTTTCGGAAACCCCCATACCCGAACCCCATCGCGTGCACGACGCTGTTTGGGGAACAAACCCACCAGACCCGTTTACACTTCGACTAGAAACCTTCCCCAAACCCTAAACCCTCATGAGCGTTGTTATAAACTCCTAAACCACTTGTATTTGACCTTTTTCGGCCCGAAAACTCTTAAGTCTTAAGCCCCACGCACCCTAAAGTACCTCTAAAACCGTGCGTCGAGGTGCGGCCAAGGGCTACTCCTCGAAGTAGCGTGGCAAACTTCAACGACTGGGGTCCTCCCGTCTCTTGGCCTGGGGTTTGGGATTTAAAAGCCCAGAAGTGGAGGTGCTCTGCCCTAAACCCTAAACCCTAAACCCAGAAGCGGAGGTGCTCTACTGCAGTTTTGTCAGGATGTAGTTTTGGTTTTTTAGAGGGAAGTCAAGAAGACACTACTGATAGTGCTGCCTACGATTTTGGAAGCGATGGCGGCGACGATGTGGATGGATGACGGCATCCTGTCATGTTCGGTTGTGGCGGTGGCGATGTGGATGGATGCCGGCATTCTGCTATGTTCTGTGAGGGGGTTTCCCTTGACATCGTTATCCTTTCCGTGCCATTACTGCAGCATTGCTGTACAAGCAGTGTCTTCCGCAAGATTTGTCACTCTCCATTGCCATAATCTAATCTTGCCTGCTCTAACCGACATCTACCTCTTCACCATGATCACTGAGTCTATCATCGTGACCACCGGATTCACGATCACATCACCCTCAAGAGTTGCCTTTTCCCATGCTCCATCGTGGTCGACGTCACCCTTGTCAATGTCATCACGACCTGATAACGACTCACACCAGCCTCATGTTCACGCAAAGAATCATCGACATGGTTTGCATTCGTATCGCTTCGTTGCATTTAGATCTTCACGGACGTGTCGCCAGCCAGGCGAATACCACGATGCCGCGACTTATGTCGCGCCTCAAATCGCGACATGTTCACCTGCTTAGCATCATTGACATTACAACTATCTTCAACCATGCTCCTCCTCGGCGTCCTTCTTTCAACGTCGTCGCGGTTTCGGCTCATTGCCAAGGACTTGGCTGGGCATATGGAGCTGGTCCAGGAACCGCTCCCTCTGTCTTCCGGCATGCGAGGGCAGCCGGTTCACTGCATCAACCCAGCCACCGGCACCGACAACTCGGTGAAGCATGTGAAGCAGGCCGGCTGAAGGTGAGGAGTGAAGAAGCGGGAAGTTCTTGACACAGAGGGAGGGGCCTTAAACCAAACCGCTCAACTGAAGCACTTGCAAGGAAAGGGATCGAATTCAAGTCCTAGACATGGGCAAGGACTATAGGGGCCTCAATAATAATTACCCAAATGATTTTGGGGGTTCCTTATTATATTTATAGTACAAAGGACTCCCAGACCCTGTTCTAATTACTAAGGCCCCTTCATTACGCGCATCTCGCAGCCCGCAGCCGGATAGCTGCAGGGTCCCTGGAACTCGTAAATGTCCTGCATGTCGAGTGCTTACCATCCTCATGGGAGCTCAAAGTTGCAAGGATCGTTCACCTCCGTTGCACTTAGTTTTCAGGTTTAGGAACGATGGTTTGGGATTTAGCATTGCTGATGGGGTTCGGGGTGGATGATTTGAAGTTCCGGTTTGGGGTATGGGGTTTGGGCGTTTGGGTTTCGGGTTGTTCAACAGTTGGCGCCTGGAGATGCAATTGCAGGTGATCAGGGAAGAGAAAGCGCGGCGCGAGCGGCGTGCACGCGGAGAGCCTGAGACCCCGACGGTGACGGAGGAGTCGTTGTCCTCTTTTGATGTCAGCGGTCTAGGGCTAAGTGCAGCAGCCACCTTTAGTCATTAGGCCACGGAAAGCTGGGACCTTCGTTAGTCCACTTTGTGCCGGATGGAGGTTTCGAGCTCCAATCTCCTGGCTTCTTGACTTGCGGCGATGTGAAACATACGACCTGAGCCTGGAACTCACTCTTGAGCGCCTGACTGTTGAAGACTCCGGAAACCAGACAGCAAGCCCCTGAAAGCCTGAAACATCTTCAGCCCCAGTCCTGCGGCCTTTGCAGCTGCACCTTGCAGGAGGAGGAGCAGGAGGAGGCGGAGGATCCGGAGGCAAGCGCTGCCCCGGAGGCTGGGGATAAGTTGCATTTCCACCCATGGCAGGTGGGGCTTGGTGTGTTATCATCTCATGCAGCAATCCTGTTTCGGGCATCACGATGTTCTTCCCTGCTGTCCCAGCAGCAACACTTAACGCTTGCAACGGGGCGGCAACATAAGCGACCAGATGATGCTGAAGCCTGCATCCAAACGCCAATGCGCATGAAGGAGAGCTGAGTGCACTCGTGCAGCCTGCAATCGTTGTTGTCATCATCCTCAGACCCAGTATTATCAGCATCATCATTAGTTGCCATCCACCACCATGACCATCCTCACCCTCCTCAGATCTTCGTTCATGTCCTCATCCTTCTCGTTGTCATCGTCCTCCTTCTTCGTCTAGTGAGTCTAGTGGTCTGTTTCCTCTGTTTCCTCGTCTTTATAAACATCACTCGACCCGTAGCCGCAGCCGCCACCATCGTCGTAATCATTGTCATCTTCATCATCACCATTATTTGCGCGGCCATTGCCATCATCATCATCATCGTCGTCATCATCATCATCGTCATCATTATCAACATCTTCGTGGGCAGCACGAGGGCGGTCATGATGACCACCAAGAGCAGCATCATTAGGATCATACTGACTGCGCCTCAAGATGCACCATGATGATGATGACGATGACGATGACGATGACGATGGCGAGGACGACGATGAGAATGCCGATGGTGATGACGACGATGACGACGATGAGAATTCCGATGATGATGACGACGATGACGATGACGACGATGATGACGATGATGTTGATGACGATGATGCTAAAGACGACGATGGCGACCATGAGGATGACGTTGTTGATGATGATGATGATGATAAGGTGATGATGCTGATGACCACACTGGCAGTGACGATGATAACGGCGATGGGGATGACGGCGACGATGATGATGAGGATGCTGTCGACGGCGATGATGATTATGGTGGTGGTAATGATGATCATGGCGGGTCATCATCATTATCATCAACATCATCATCGTGTTTTCGTCTTCTGCCTTCCCCACAACGACCAGCACCAGCACCAGCACCAGCACCAGCACCATCACCAGCACCAACAGCAGCCACCACCGCCGCCACCGCTACCACCGACCACCAACACCACCTGGACCACCACCACGACCACGATGACCACCACGACCGCCACGACAACCACCACGACAACCATCACGACCACAACCATAGCAATCATTAAATTCTACAGATTGGCCCAAAATATAGAGGTCTTCATAACTAGCAGTAGCTAGCAAGCTCATCGTTTTATCGTCCCTATGCCCTTCTCATAACTTTATATAACTTTATCATTTGTTAGATGCCCCAAAGATCTATTACAATAATTACGGCCCCTGTGTTGGAGTGCTGGGGGCTGGAAAGAGCTCTTCGGCTCATGCCATGGGGAGTTGTCCTTCAGATGCCATTCGAGATGGGTTTTAACTTCCTGAAAGCCTGAAATCCTGAAGAGCCCCCTCTGGACTCCGACTGTTGCTGACGGTGTTAGTGATAATCCCGATCCAGAATCTAGGGGAGCATTCCAGCCCTCCTGTCAGAGGGTTTGGGAACGCACTGGGAGGATGCTCTGCCCTAAACCTTAAACCCTAGTCTTCATGAATAACGTAGAAGACCTTGGAATTTAATGCTGCTTTGAAGCTCTTTAGACAACCTCGCCAGTGAGCCATAGTTCTCTGCCATGCGAGAGGGAAAAAACCCACGGAAAAAAAAAAAAAAACGCCCTGAGAGGATGATCTGCCAGAAGCTCAGCGAGATGCACCGGAGGCCCAGGCTCCTGCCCGGAAGCAAAGCCTCCTCGAGCAGCTCCTGCAGCCGCTCTGATTATTTGCGCTTGTGCTCATGTAGGCATGAGGCTTCTGGAAATAAGGGGTACCTTTTTGGGGTCCTTATAATCAGGATCCTACTATTTAGGGTTCTATAGTAGGGTCCGTTATTTCCAAGGTTTTTTGGGAGTTTTTTGGGCTACGGTAGCAGCCAAAGCCCAGACTTGATTCCGGAACGCTGTGGTTACACCTTCACAGCAGCTCATGAGCTAACGCAGCCAGTCAAGAAGGAGATTTGCGGTTTAGGGTTTAGGGTTTAGGGTTTAGGGTTTAGGGTTTAGGGTTTAGGGTTTAGGGACAACCCTGATACTTGAAGCTTGGAGAACGCACTTATGTGCTTATGCCACAGCTCTTGGAACACAGGCAGCAGGTCCTCAATGAGTCGTCTCTTCGCCGCTTCCTCCCGCAGCAGACGCTTTGCCCGACGACGGCCCTCAGGGATTTGATCCTCGGAAGCACCCGCCAAGTCGGAGAATGCGAAGTTGCTCCCATAGCCACTATGACAGGACCCTAGCTGAGACAACTTCCGCTGATCCTCTGTCTTCTGCATCATATGCCAGCGCTACAGGCCAGCACTCAGAACAAAAGCCACCGAAAACCCGAAAACCAGCTCCAAGGAACAGCCGCCCCCCTGCTGCGGAGCGGCCGGCTTCTGCTGGGGGCCACTGTGCCGGTTGTGGCGGGCTGCACGTGGCTTCCTGGAAGGAATTGTGGGGTTTAGGGTTTAGGGGTTTAGGGTTTAGGGTTTAGGGTGTGAGGAGCATCTACAGTCAGAACCCTTAAGTAACCTGGCCTCTGGCCCTGAAGCTTGCGTCGTTTGGCTTGTCCGAGTGCGAGCGTGAAACCCTGGAACACTGAAGCCATCTGAAGCCAAAAGCCCAGGTCAGGGAGGAGTTCCCGGAGAATTTCCCCAGAACTGCCTGTACTTCAGCTAGGAGTCGAAGGCCGCGAGCTGGGTTCCGAAAACTTGAGCTGAAAGGTTTACTGTAGGGCTCGGCCGGTGTGTGAGAATCGTCTTTTCTGGATGACCCTCCGTGTTGCGCAACCTTTGTCCAGAATTGGGGCGTGGCAGATCTTCTGGACATGGTTTCCCTTATAGCCTCATACTTGATAAAACCGCTTAGCAACAACAGTATAGTATTCTGGTATTGTCGCTTTCGGCCATTGGCAAAGCGTCCGCTGTGAAAGAGTCTGCATAGTTCGAGATCGTAGTAGTAAGTTCCGAGAGTTCACGTAGATCCCGTGTTTTGTGCTTAGACCGGAAGCTATGCCATTCGGGTAGCAATGCAAGAGGCACAGCGGACGAGAGACTGTTGGACTGCCCTCACAAGCCTCGCCTGCATCGTCCGTGTCGCGAGAGTCCAAGCCCCCGACCTCGCCAAGTCGTGAGTGCGAAACACCCTTAAGCCAAACCCTACACTGAACCCTAGTCAGCCCTAGTCATACCCTTAACCCAAACCCTACACTGAACCCTAGTCATCGGGGGCTTAACTCTGCGTCGCGCCGACCTGAACCATTGCAGACCCGAAGAGCCACTGCCCACTTGAATCCTGATCTGTTGGCGGCTGCATCTTTCAGATTAGCTTGTGGGATTTCGCGTGCAAGGCTTGAGGGATTGAGCGGGGTTTTGCCCTAGTTGGATTCAGGGACTGATCGGCTCAGGAACTAGTTGGGTTTAGGATTTGGAGTTTCGTGATTGGGCTTGAGCAAGTCGTTGGATTTGGGAGTCGGCTGGGTTCAGGGTCCATTCATGTTTGGCGCTTTGTTTGGTTTTGGGCTGAATGTTGTTTCGGGCTCGTCAACAAAATTTTCTGCATACTGCTTTAGAAATCTGCGTGGTGTCCCATCTGCTTCTCTACTCTATTTCTTTGTCTCACATGTTGGTGTGCTCACAAAAGGTCTCAGGCATTGGGCGCAAAAAATCCCGCAGGAAGAGCGAGCCGGTACCCAAGGTTGCGAACGTGGGTGTCAAGGCGAGTCCCGGGATTTCCTGGGTTTGCAGATGGGGGTTTCCGAAAATAAGGGGTACCTTAATTGGGGGTCCTTATAATAAGGATCCTACTATTTAGGGTACTATATTAGGGTCCCTTATTTTCGGAAACCCCCAGATGGCAAACTTGGGGGTTCAGCATGCTGGCGTCCCCTTTTGCTTTCAGGGCGGCATGCCTAAGTATGTGTGAATCCCTACGACCCGGGTCTGTAGAGTCCTGGTTTAGCTAGCGCTTGTTGCAGGTTTTACATAGGCAGAAATAGTATGCATAGTTTGGGATTTGTGCTGGATCTCGGGTCTTTGGTCCCCTGTTTTCGTGAAGTCCAGTTTTTGCGAAGAAGTTCGGTTGTTCTGCCTTTGTAGGGGTTGAAAAGTCGCAAGCTACTCCGGGAATATATGCTTGATCAGGGGCTTTTCAGTTGCAGAAGATCACCATGGCTGTTGTCAACCGAGAGCTGAAATAAACCCCGACGCCAAAGGCAAAATCCCCAATAACTTCAGCCCGAGACCGTATAAACACTGGAAGCAGCAGAACACAGAGCTTTAAGGACATATGCAAGGCACTCACAACTGGGAATCCCGTGAACATGGAGGGTTTGGTGTTTGGGCATGCTGTATCAAGCATATACGTCTAGTAGTCTAGTATCTTCACCGAGAAAGCCCGTGGTGATGCTTCATGAGGAAACTTGGCTCGAACACCAAACCGCCCCAAATCCGGAACCGTTACTCAAAGAATCAATTCAGGGGAATAAGGGGACATGAACGAAGGGTTCCTGCGAGATTCCATGAGCAAGGTTCAGTCGGATTAGAGGAGGTCTGGGAGAAGGATCTCCCCTGGTGCTTACTTCTTTGGAGGATTCGCGCATGATCTGTAAGCCGTGGAAGCCAACAGTTTGACCTACCTTCCTGGGCGCCCCGCACCCCCTTCCCCGCCCAATGGTTGGTACCCTCGCCCACCCCCTGTGGTGTGGTGAGGTTAGGGTCGGTGTTGTCATCACCACCATCATCATCACCATCATCTTCATCCTGTTCCTTTCTTGGGTCAACGATCACAGAAACCCGGCCTGTCAGGAACGTCACGGAACGTTGTGTCGGAGTCGTGGTTGGAAAGTGCCCAGTGTTAATGGGATCCGGTGTGTTTGGGACGAGATCCTCGTGACGGCTGACGGTTTTGGAGCCGCCATGTGGGAGAAGTGCGCGCGGTCACAGAGATTCGGCAAGTTTGGACGGACCCGGGTGTGGGGTCAGCGAAGCGAGGACCGGCATCATATATACTCACTGGTTCCAGACAGACAAAACCCAGAAAACTTATCTCGTGTACCTAGGCTACATAAATTCCACACAGGACCCCGCAGTTCCCTGTCAAACTTGACAGGGCTGGGATGGTAAGGATTGAACGAAGAGTAACTACAGTGATCGGAATACGTGGTACTCGTAGTAATATGCCCATTTAGTCAATTTAGTCCCTGCACCACTGCTGCACCATCCTCCCAAGCTCTATTCAATTAGTAAGACCCTACACTGCTAGCGCGCCAGGTGAAGCTCGACAGGCTGGTTGCCAACCGGGCCGCCACCCGTGCCACCGGTGCTGCTACCAGCCAGTCCTGTCTCCGTGCTGCTTGCAGAGCATCGGCAAAGTCGGGCCACTTGCAGGCAATGAGCATACACGACTTCAACTCCGTTTTCTCCGGCAGAAATCCGAGTGCAACCCAAATCCCGAAGCCCTTTAGCTGTTAGCTTCGAGTGCAACCCTAACGCCCGCTGTGTCAGTCTTGACCCGATCACATAAATGGGCAAGCAGTCGCTGGCACTACAAGAGCCCCAGCTGCCAAACGAGTACATCTGTGTTTCCCTCTATATGTATACAGACATAGATAGTTATATGTGTGTATACGTATTATATATATATATATATATGTATATATATATATATATATACTACACCCCTCAGCGACCTACCGATTTTGGATGGCGCACGCCAGGTGATGAACATCGTATGAGGACTTTAGTGATCTAAATCGGATCTCCTTCGGAGTGGTACACACAAAGGCAGTTTTATCTTACACATATACCGACGACTTAGAGATTTGCTGATCTCCTAGAACCTATGCAGAAACATGTGGCGAAACATGTAATGGGTTCTCTAGCCCAGCATCCAGAGAATAATTGCGTAACACTTAATTAATGAGGTGCAATGTGGAACCAATGTCTCTGCGTGTATATCATATTATCAACACTTGCTTGATATTGAAGTTCTATCGGTGCAGATTTAATTCGTCATAAATCTAGCAACAACTAATTAATGCAAAGGGCAATACCTTGTCAGTGCTGGGTGGATATTGACTCTATATTGCTTCAAAACTACGCCGTATCACTTGCCCATATTTCTTCGTAAGCTAATTGCTAGTTCAATCTTTGTCGGGGATGACGGTAATGAAGTATTTGCGAACTACTCGTAGATGTTCACTAATCACATGTTAAATGCGCAGATTAAGTACTCCGTAATTGAATGTTTTTTCAAACGACTGTTGCTGGTTCGCTTTGGTGGATTAGCGTCAGCAACCAGAATATAAAACAGAGGATCTTAGACCAACGTGGTATATGACGTAAATGTCAGTTGCCACCCAGTAATATGGAATGAACACAGGTCACAAACTGATAAAGTAATTACTTTCATGCTACTAACAATCAACTGCTTCAGCACTTTCTGGTGCTCATGCGGCTGTCCCTGGCTGCTTCACTGCTCTGGTGCTTAGGTCGCTACTTGCCTCACAAGATTCCGGTTAAGTTCTACACCCTGGTCCTGAATCTGAAGTTGCGTCCTTGCTAAGTAGGAGGCAAAAATTCTGAAGTTGCTAAGACACAAGTATCAGATCAGACACTTATCCACTAAACCTGGCAAGGATGCCAGATCGCAACAAGAATACTGAGACCTTTGGTGCCAAAACCACAGTCCCCAAAGCTCACAAGGGTATCAGATCGTGGAGAGCGTCATGTCCTCCCGCTTTTCTGAGCCTAGCGGAACTGAAGAGGACGATGGTGTGGTGAATGGTTGGAGCAAGGGGTTTACAGTCGTGAAAATTTGTCATGGATAGGGTTTAACAGGGTCTAGGGTTTTGCAGTGATTTGGGGTGTGAGGCTTGATGTGTTGACTTTCACAGGTCTACAGTCTCGCAGTTCAGGGTTTGCGCTATTTTCAGCACAAGCTGCCGCGAGCACGTGCGCACACGCACACAGACAACAAGGAGCGTGTTGTCGACTTCAGGACGGATTTCCTAAAGTTGCTTGAGCTTGGCTTCTCCCGTTTCTGCCTGATGGATCGCTTGAGACTGCTTGTGTGGCCACTTGTTACTTCCGCTGCCTCGGTGGCATTCAAGTGATTTGTTACCTTTTGAAACAAGCTCTGCAAGATATCCAGAAATCATTTTTGCGCACACCTTGCATGTGACCCGAACGCAGACCTCAGAAGTGATCCTCGGTGCATTCCCGACTCAACATATCAAGACTGCTTGATCTTGTGCATGGTGAATCTTCCTTGGCCCTAGACCATGAAGCACAGCCTTTCCACTGCTAGAGGAGTCGATGGTTCGACACTGCATGTGGTGTGGGCATCCTGTCCCCTTGTGGAGGCAGCTGGGGGGGGTTCCTGGCTCGATCTTTCTGGAGGGCGTTTTGCGGACATCGTCTGTTGGATGTTCCCCAAGACGCCAGAAACCGGGCAGATGCGATGATGGCAGAACCCGGGTCGAATGCTCAGCATGACGCCCTAAGCCGTCTGCAGCTCCCAAGCTGGAAACTCCGAGACGTTGGAGGTTAAAAGGGGCAAGCCCAAACCGTGAACCCTCAACCCTAAGCCCCAGCACGCAAACCATGTGCCTGTGCCATCCAGGTCGCCTGAGACGGACGGCACCGTCCAGTGTCCCAACTGCGGTCGCAGGTTTGACCTGCGCAAAGCAAAAACCACCCCTCTGGGTGGGCCGCGGTAGGCAAAGGACGAGAGCAGAAGCAGTGTTCATAATTAGTCGCCAGTAGAGTTGCTTAAAAGCTCTTTTCATCCCAAGCTCTGCCTCGGATGTCTCCGTTTCACTTTATTCACAACGTACTTAGCGCTGCTGACCTCTGTCATCACAGGGCTGTTTGAAGGAAAAGCAGCAGGGGTGGAGAGCGTCCGATCATCGGATCATTCGAACAGGAGTAGATGGGTGACAAGCTTTTGCCATCAACACGTCAATATCTGTCTATTTATCTAATCTATCTAACCTGTCTAATCTAACCTATCAATCTATCTAACTATCTAACTATCTAGCTGTCTATCTATCTATCTATCTATCTATCTATCTATCTATGTATCTATCTAATCTGTTTAATCTATCTAATCTATCTAGTCTATCTAATCTATCTAACCTATCTAATCTGTCTATCTATCTAACTATCTAACGATCTATCTCTCTATCTGTGGTATCGATCGATCTATCTATCTATCTACCTATCTACCTATCTATTTATCTATCCATCTACCTATCTATCTGTCTATCTATCTCTTACTGTACACATATTATAGCATATTTATGTTTTTGTGTGTGTATGCAATGATATGCAGCTGCATCGGTATGCGCGCGCAGATGTGTTGCTGCCATGTCTAATGCTGAGGCTTAAGGCCATGGATACCGCGTTGATGCAGACTGCCAAAACCCGAAGAAGACAATGCAGCCTGTCAGGAGCTGTGTAGCTCTCACGTTCTGAGTTGCATCGCTCAGATCCACATGTCTGGTTGGCGGTTCATTTGCAATGTTCGGTACAATTCAGATTTCATATAAGCTTGTCTGGCCCGGAAGTAGTTTCACCGTTTAAGTTGTTCTTATTTGATAGGCTAGGGGCGTCGGATCCTTTGTTTGCAGTGTGTCGTGGCTCCAGATGTATAGCCGTATATAGCCCCAATTCCTTGACCCGAAGCCTCAAGCCCGAGCCGCTCACTAACCCATCTTGCACCTTGTGGCCTGCTCTCCCGCAGCACTCTTGAAATCCTCAAGATGGACATACGTCCAGAAACGACAGCCAAGGTCTCGTACCTGCACTTACAGTAACGATTTCGAGTCAGTTTACAGGCTTACAGTTTACAGGGTCGTACTTAGTCGCGGAAGGTTGGTTCTCCACTTCGTGTTTACGTTCAGCATCTTGATTGACTGACTGACTGCTGCTTCTTGTTGCAGCATGGAGTCCGCCCACCAGCAGGCAAGCAGAAGGTATCACTTTCCATGGCACAACCCAGAGAGTTCTTTAAGCCGCGAGACTTTGTTTGTGGCTATGGCGGATTTCGCGAACTGGCTCTACCCCCCCGGGCAGACGTGGCCACCTGGGCAGGCCAGAGACTGAGCATCTTCGGTCTTTTTGGTTTACGTATTTATATACTAATTAAGGCTTCTATAAGGTATCCCCCAAAAGGAACCACAATGGAGACTATAGGTAAAGCTCAGGACCTATCAAGTAAAGGGTTGAAGAAGAGGAGTCTCCTGGCACTTATCGGGTTTCGGATTGAAAGCTTTGGGACTTGGCTTAGGATTCAAGGGTTCTGATCTCGCGTTGCTGTTTTTGGCCCCTTGAGGGCCCTAGAACCTTTGGCTTCTCGAAAGTCGCTAACGATAGTACGATCAAACTGTAGTATTGTGGTGGTGTCAGTACTTGGGGTCATAGCTGACCAGGCCCAAAGCTTTCTTGCACAGGGCTGCAGTAGCCGCGACGTTTGAGATTCAAGGCTGTAGCGTCCAAAAGGGTTCGCTTTTAAGGGAACGAGATGGTCGCGGTAGAGGTTGCCTGTGAGGTGCCTTGCCTCTTCAAATTCAAAGGTGGGGTGTGGGCTCCGAGCTTGAGCGGCGGTAGGGGCTTCAGGCCAGGTTCAGGCCCTGAATCCCATATTTCCCAAAGCCACAGTAAGTAGCTGTTACGGAGAGCTTGCAATCCCCCCTAAACTCTCAACCAGTCCAGTCCTGCGCCCAAGACCCAATGTCTTGTACGCCCTAAGCCCAAATCCTCATTCAGTCTGACAGTCAGACACGAAACAGATGCTCTCAGCTTTCAGGCCCGTAGCCCGGATCAAACAGCCGTGCAGCTTTTCCAGGTATCCCCCTACAGCCAACACAACCACCACATTTTGGGTGACCTTTATAAACTCTTTAAAAACGATTGTAGGGACCAGTGTAAGGAGTATAGTAGCCCTTCTATTTCGAGAAGCCTTTATGGATGCTGCTCACCGCAGCCCTCTGAAGTCTCTGAAGCTTGTTTTTTAGGTAATTAATTACTTAATTCATTAATGAATTAATTAATTATTTAATTAATTCATTAATTAAGATACATTTTTTATTACCAAAAGCAAGACATTAGTGAAGCCGAAAAAACGAGGCCGCCGGAGCCGGTGGCTGGGATCCTGAGGCGTGGCTCCCGCAGCAACCGGAGAGCAACTCGAAGCGAAAGCGTAACTCGGGCTTAGGGTTTAGGGTTTAGGGTTGGCAAGCCCGCTGCAAAAAAAAAAAGGGTTTAGGGTTTAGGGTTTAGGGTTTTTTGGGCTTGGGATAATGGGGTTTTGGGTTTAGGGCTTTGATGCGAAAGGATGTTCAGGTCAGGGCTTTAGGAAGTAGTTTAATAAGGGGCAGGGGCTTGAAAGTGGACCAGGACTCCGGTTTCGGGGTTCGGAATGCAGGATTCTGATCCAAAACCCCAGCCCGATAACCCACCCCCACCCCGATCCCGGCCATAGATGAGGCAGGTCGTATATTCGGTCTTGATGAATTTATATACTTGGATCCATGCCTGCATTGTGCGAGTGTGCGCGTCGAAGCGCGAAGCCTAACTTTCGGAGCCTCAGCGCCGTAAAGCCCCTCAAACTTTCAAACCCTTCATCCTAGATACCAATCCTGAATCCTACACCCGAGTTCTTAAGCCCAAACTCACCTAAACGGATGGCAGAGATCTGAGGTGGTGACTGGCAGCCCTCCTTTGGGTTTGCCTCAGCGCCGAGCAAGCTCTTGGGACGCATGGTTCGAGCGATGCCCGAGATCTCTTGATTCAGTACTTCTGCTTCCTCTTTGGAGTATCACAAAGCATGTTAGCCGTGCTTTTTAGGACTAAAACATATGGTTGTGGGCTGTGCGGGATTCATTTTCAGGCTTCTGGGCGCCAGGGGTCTTTTGCGTGTGTGGGAGTTTTTGGCCCGAGGATGCTAGAACTGTCGGCCCAGGGCTTGCCCGAGGTGTATCCACGGTTTAAGGTTTTAGGGTTTAGGGTTTAGGCCCTAATTAGGGCCGTTCGCGTAGTAATAATATGTACAATCACGATGAATTTTCTTCATCGTCCTGAAGGCCCAGAGACATAGAGGGAACTGGAGGCAGGGAATGCGCTCGCGAGACGAATTCATGTAGTATTGAAGCGGTTCAGGGTTTAGACCTTGAAGCCCGATTGCCCATCTAAAGAGTATGCAAAGACGTTGGCAGTAGCACCGACACAGGCAAGTGGACTTCTACGGTAAGGTTTCGGTTCAGCCGGACCAGACTTACAGTACCTAAAGACGAAAGCTTGGGGTAAACCCCGTCGACCAAGGCCCCGGCCCGCGCCCGAGGCGGGGAGATGTTGGGAACTGAGGTCCCGCTTCTTTTTCGGGGGGAGGAAAGCCTTAAAGATCGATTGTAAAGTAGAGCTGTGCTTCAGCTTCATCTTCGGCTCGAAGTGTGCACCGCGCAGCCTTCATTCCGACCAGGTCGGTGTCGAGCCTCATGCATCGGGCAGTTGCAGTTGCCAATAAACTCCTGTAAAGACTCTGGAAGCCCCGACGACAGGCTCCTCCATCCGGAGTCCTGCCTCAGCAGCCGCCGCAGCAACGCTTCGTCCCTGGCACGCGGAAGCGAAAGCTTTGCATTCATCACGAGGCTGAGGGAGGGAGAGGGAGAGAGAGAGAGAGTGTGTGTGTGTGTGCGCGTATTTCCAGCGTGCTTAATCCCTTGGTCAACATCGGTAAGATGGACCACGTCCTGCAGTCTCTCCACACCAAAACGGGGTGCGCACTCGCGGAGAGGGGGGAGGGAGACCTCCCCTGTCGCCCTTCAGAAAGAAATTGTCATGAGTGAGTGAGCGAGGAGAACAGACACATAAACCAGCAACGGAGCAACACTGGAGCAACATAGGCCGTATGTAGAGACAGAGGGAGGGAGAGAGAGAGACAGAGAGAGAGAGAGAGGGGGCACAGCAGTTTTGCAAGAAGGGGGGAAGCCGCAGACCGTAGGTAACATACGGTGAGCTTGGCTGTCGAGGGCCCTAGGACATGCCATGGAAGGCGTGGGGATGAGGCCGGGAGGCAGGGGTGTGCCTCGGCACAGTCATCTCGGAACGTTGCACTATGTATGTATGTATGTATGTATGTATGTATGTATATGTATAAATATGTACGTATGTAAGCACATATATATATATATATAAGTAAACCCTAAACCCTAAACCCTAAACCCTAAACCCTAAACCCTAAACCCTAAACCATTACAGATATTGCATGTTGCCGCAATCGCACTTCACTCCACTCAGCAGGCCGGAAACTGCAGATACGGCGGCCCTGGTCGCATTGGCGTATTACTTTTTGGCTTAGGGTTTAGGTGAGAGCTGAACTTCTGCGGGCTCGGATATTCAGGCGATTGCACAAGTCCTGATGCAAAAAAGGGTTACTTTTTGGCTCAGTTTTCTGGTTTCGCCACGTCGGAGACAGTTGAAAAAAAGCGACTACTTGTCTATCGTAGGTCTCCTTCTCTGCTGTGAAACACCGCCTACTGGTCCGAGAGCTTCTGGTGCAAGAGTGCGATTCGAGGCTGTGGGCCGGAGGTCTGTAAAGGCTTGTACCCCGCAGGCGTATCAGAATGAGGACCCTTCAGGCCCTCAGGATTGTCATCAGAGTGTCCGTCATCACGGTTCCGGTCATGAGGTTGTCAAGCTTCGGAATAGCCATGTTGGTGCTTCCTTGTATTTTTGGGTCAGACCTGACCCAAACTCAACTCGGACCCGCGTGGACGAGGTGCCGACTGCAACTTCGCACACGGCGTGGACGCTGTCCTGCAAGTAGTTGCGCCGTCGTGTAGCACAGTAGCCATGAGGTAATCTTTAAGACCCTCTACCTTAAGAACCCAAAACCTACTTTTTTAAGGGCCCCTAAAAATCCCATATTAAGATTTAAAGTAAGAACCTACAAAAAACGTGGGTTTTGGGTTCTTGAGGTATAGGTTGGACTTTGGGTTTTGTGGTTCACGGGTGAGTAGTTGGGAAGGCCCGGAGGCCAAAAGGGGTTCGATGCGGTCTCAGAGGGGGTTTCCGAAAATTAGGGGTGCCTTATTTTGGGGTCCTTATAATAAGGATCCTATTATTTAAGGTACTATATTAGGGTCCCCTATTTTCTATATTAGGGTCCCCTATTATCAGAAACCCCCATATCTAACAGCACCCAACATGGAAAAGATCCCCAAAGGCCTCCAGTGAGCCCGCACGATCCTCGGCTTTCCTGGGACTCGGTTTGGTTGGGCTTACTAGGCTCCCGTAGTACCTTTTTACTAGGGGGTTTGTAGTGTAATCTTGTTCCTCCCAAATTTGGAGCCAGACCCCTGGGCGGTTCGTAGTCGAGGCTTCCGGGGTTTGGGGTAAGATGAAACCAAAACCGTCTGTCAGGGTGTGAGGGGTTCACAGTTTATAAGGCTTATAAGGTTTAACTTTACTTCCCCACGACATGGGAGTGTCAGAAGATTGGGGGTACCTTATTTTGGGGTCCTTATAATAGGGATCCTACTATTTAGGGTACTATATCAGGGTCCCCTATTTTCGGAAACCCCCAAATCTCCTTCAAGCCCAGGAAGATCTGGAACCGGACTGCCAGGAAGCCGTGACAAAGAAGCCCCAGACAGAAAGGCGCGGCATGTGGGAGTTTCCGAAAATAAGGGGTACCTTATTTTGGGGTCCTTATAATAAGGATCCTACTATTTAGGGTACTATATTAGGGTCCCCTAATTTCGGAAACCCCCATGCTGGGTTTGCGGTTTAGAGTCTATACGGGTCAGGGCCGGTTTGGAGATCAGAGCCTGCGCCACAGTCTACCCATCCTTGTCTAGCTACTGTAAAGGCTGAAAGGTACTATGCCACGATATCACTCCAGATTGAGGATTCAGTCGATGAGACACGGAGAGGGGAGGCAATCAATTCAATGAAGGGTTTTGGCATACGGGGACGGGGGGGTTTCTGTGCCTTAGTTTTGCTTCTTCTTGTGGGGGAGGGGGGTGATGACGTTCTGTGTTTCAAGATGCATTATGATGAGGCTCTTTGGCAGGAAGTAGTAGATTGAAAGTAGCACTGGCGATCATACTGAAAAAGAACCACCTAAATTTGACTTATAAATTTCCTAAATTTGACCTGAATACATGCATCGCCCCAGGATGGATTTTAGCGGTCTCGAAGCGGGTCGCTTGACGAAGAGCCTCACGGTGCCGCAGGACCAGGCTTCCACCTAGATGGAGCTCACAGTTAGAATCTTATGGGAGTTTCCGAAAATAGGGGGGGGGGTGGGTACCTTATTTTGGGGTCCTTATAATGGAGATCCGACTATTTAGGGTACTATATTAGGGTTCCCTATTTTCGGAAACCCCCTTATAATTAATAAAGGTTAGGGTCAGAAGTTTGGCTTAAGTCGGGGTGATTGATTACCCCCAAGCCTGAGGTCAAAGGATCCTGGTCCCCCGACTGTACTGCGAACCCGTGTTTTGGGTGTTCAGGTGGATGCCTTGATGACGGCACCTACGCGCGAGCTGCTACTGGAGGTGCCAGGGCGTATGAGGGTTTATGGCCCAGGCTTTTTCCAAGGCGGAACTTGTCCGAAGGTGCCATGTCGATGGAAGCGCAAGCATCGACGTCTCGATATCCGTGTTACTCGGCTCGGCCCTATCATGTTGGATCAAGCCTCGCAGGTCGCCGGAGCCTACGACATCGAGTTCCAGCATCCTGCCTGATCTGTGGATTTGGGTTGCGGGTGTAAGGGGTATACATATACCAACACCTGTGTGCGGCTTATTTTCTGTTGTTGCTTCAGACTTGGCTCAGGGCGGGCTAGCGGTGAAGGCAAGCTATCTCGCGCCGCCTGGGCTCCCCAAGCTTGCCGCTGAACCCGTGTCTTTTTGTCCAGATGCATGCATTTCCCGAGATGAGGGGACTTAGAGCTGAGGAGAAAATCGCTTCAAAAGCCGAAGCGTCGAAGACTTGTCGACTTCTTTTCGCACTTTCGATAGTTGATTCGGTTCTCCGCTTCTCGAAGCCAACGCATGCTTGCGTAGCCAGGATCGTGATGCGAAGCACTTGCGACCACGCACATCTCGAGGCCGGCAAGGCGAGTCGTGGAGGTAACCGGCACGGCTGTGCAGCTCGAGAAGGCAGAGAAGGTCGACCGAGGGAGGGCTGGTGGGTGGGAGGTAGAGGGTGGAGGAGGCGTGGCTGGCTCGGCTGTAGGCGCATCACAAGGGTTCATCGCGAATTCTGGCCTGCATGAGTCGTATGGGATTGTGGGATGACATGCCTTAAGTAGTAAAGACCCTGCTCCCACGCGCAGCAAATCGGAGGAATGGATTAACTTGGCTGTTCCATCCCGAAGACAGGGCCCCTGTCGCCCGCTTTGAACTTGAAACCTCCAGCTAAGTGAGAACAGGGCTGCTGGTTGCTGCATGAGCCATTTCACTTCTAACTTCTGCTCAGTACGCTACTGTACTCAAAAATCAAGAGCGGTCGCTGTTGGAGGGCTTGCTGGGTTTGGGGTAGAGCCTCGCAGATTGAATGGTGTATGAGGAAAAGACGTGCTTTGCAGGGTCGGGGGTTCGAGGTTGGATTCGATTGATTCCGAGCAGAAGACTTCCTACGTAATCCCCAACGAAGCCGTGACAGAACCGAGCCCTTGTAAGCTTTCGGCCTTCTCTGTAAATTCTGCCCCGCCTTGAAAGGAAGCCCTGGCCTGGTATATCCGGGATCCGCGTATCCCCCTCCTACCCAAAGCTTCTCTCTCTGTACTCTCGGTACTCCTAGAGCATAAAGGCACTCCAGCGCATGGTCGCGCATTGCAACTGGGGCGCCAGCGATTCCAAAATACGGGCCATCCTTCGACCCCGACTGGTCTCCTGGACAGCAAGCTTCGGCTTCTGAAATGTTGTGCCAATTTCGAAGTAAACCCGTTCGTCGGTAGCAAGGGATCAAGGCAGTTGCAGGTCCAGGGGTAGTTGTCGTAAATAAGTGTACCCCTAAGCCGGCATGCCCTACACACACATCCCGGCCAGTGGTGCGATTTAGGAAGAGATGGTAGGGCCCCTGGCCGATCTGCGGTTCGGTGCGGTCTGGTTCATAAGACGGGGTGAAATTAGTGGTTCTTGTCGCCCTACGTCTTCTTGTATATAGGACTGCGGGTTTGAAGGCTTTTTTGTTTGGCCGGGCCACTGTGGTTTGGGTTTGGGATTACCTTTGCCGAGTCTTGTGTACTTCAGGATCTTCATAGTTCCCCCCAAAACATCAACCTAAGCCGTATTTTGATCTGTGCATCCTGCAAGCATTAGTGTCGCGAGACGAGCTCGAGCATGTCTCCTGAACCGGAGCCCCTCCGCAAAAAATGAGATTGATATGGGAGTTTCAGAAAATTAGGGGTACCTTATTTTGGGGTCCTTATAATAGGGATCCTATTATTTAGGGTACTATATTAGGGTCCACTATTTTCGGAAACCCCCATATAGTATGGCTTTGTGTGCCTTACAAGCCTTACATGAGTCAAAAGGGCGTGGACCGTCGAATCCTGAGAGCCTCAACCCCACATGGCCCGAAGCTCCGAAACTCGGGGAGGTGTGACATCTTGGGCACTTCGGGCCCGGAGGGTTAAGAAACTTCGGCCTGGGGTTCGTGTAGGGTAGGGAAGTGCCTCTCATGAAGTTTCAGACCCATCACAGTGCCCTGTGCTTGCGAAGCCAAGGATTACAAATATGTGCTGGCCTCAGCTACGCTTGCTCATGTAGGTGAACAGCGTCAGGCTCTGATGCGACATAGTGACAGGACCGCAGGTTCTGAGTTCTGGGAAGTTTCCTCTCACAGTATACCGGTGCTTCAGTACAGTTCGATGTTTTAAGCTTGTCGTCCTTGAAAGACAAGTCTTCGCCTCTTCTAGGGCTCCGCGCCGACACTTGGAAACGCCATACGGGTCACGGGCAACCGTTCCTGAAAAAAAGTTCCTCCCCTCAAGTCTTAGCAGCCAGACCGTTTCATTGAAACCTGCTGATTAGCATGTTTTAGTTGCTTTGTCTGCTTTCTCAAATCCCGACAAAGTGGTTGCTTTGCCAACAGTGTCATTTCTCCGACGATGCCGCTACTATTCACGTCTTCAGTTCTGACCATGAATTTGGGGTGTTTCTGAAAATAGGGGACCCTAATCTAGCACCCTGAATAATAGGACCCTTATTATAAGGACCCCAAAATAAGGTACCCTAATTTTCGGAAACTCCCATTTGGGAACCACCGTGGCAAACACCCGCAGTTTGGTTCAAGAGGTAGTGTGGCCAGCGGCCTACAGCCTCTCGTGGCTCGGGCCGTGGTCATGCTCGCATGCTTGTGTGCAGACCCCGGGAACACTCCTGAAGGAGACGACCCTTTGGTGCTGACCAGGTTGCCTTCAACATTCTCGGTTTTTTTATCGGTTTTAGGTTAAGGCTTTTCTTCCGAGAGGCAAGCCTGCTTCCTGTTGGAGTTGTGGGGTATTGTTTGACATTTTTTGTTGCGAAGCTCGGCAAGTAAGGAAGTCCAGGTGTCTGATGACAATCTCAACAGCCTCGATAGTAGCGAGGGGCCGCAGGCTCATGCACCTCGTCCAAGCATTGCAACGTAAAGTTCTTTGTTCAGGACGTATATTGTGGGTTGTCGCAGCATTCACTCCGTGGCCCAAATGCTGTAGAGAGCAGCCTCAGACTGGACACCTGGCAGCGCAAAATCACAAGTGTGCCCGAATTCTTGAGACATGAGGCACAGCCGAAGGCATCTTCGCTGGTGCCGCCTATAAAGACAGTGGATGAGGAAGACGATGCACCGCCAGCTTTCGTTGCCACAGTGTCGCTGGATCCATTGGGACTCGTAGAGTTTAAGTCCCCTTTCTTTCCGGGACCCCCGACCCTTACCCGAGAAACACGCTGTGATGCGGTGATGAGCTCATCAGGTGACGGGGGCACGTTAATAGTGCACACTGGCTGTTCTAGAAGATGCCGTGGACGCACGCCGGGTGGGATCGTTGTTATCCCCCTGCTTGGCCCGCGTAGATCCTTAAAGACCCAGCAGCTAAGGTCTGATGAGAAAGCGCGGGTCTTTACGATCGCCTTCTCGAAGTCCCATGGTCATGCGGGCATCAATTTCGCGTACGTGGACGGTCTGCTCGTGGTGGAGGACGTCGGTTCCGATCACATTGCGCAGTGGAACAGCATGCCGCTCGGTGGTGCGAGTCAGGCTCAATTTCCCTTCTGCGAAGCCGATGCTTGTGTTTGTCTCCGTGCTCACATATCAAGTGTTGATTGCGCGTATTGTCCCGTATGTAGGTTGGCTTGGCTGTATCTGGTTCAATCATACTGTCTACCTTGTTTCTGATTCTAAGCTGTGCCGCCGTAATCTGCTTTCTCCAGACCCTCTCAGAACCGTCCGAAGTAGGGTTTGGAGTCCAAAGACTTCCAAGAGCTACTTGATCTACTCGATGCCTTTTTTGGGACGGTCTTCAGAAGCCCTGACCCTTAAAATCCGGGTTGCTTGGGCAGCACCAGAAGCTGAAACGCCTGGCTTCGGATCATCGCAGCTGTGAGCAGGCTATCTAGGCTATTTAGGCTATTTATGCTATTTAGGCTATTTAGGGTTTAGGGTTTGGTGGAAGTTGCGGCTAGACTTGAGCCCTCGACCTTGAAGCCCCAATAATCATAACCCCTCAACGCCATACATCCTCCACCCTGCTCAAGAATTTGTTGGAAGGACGACCAGGCCTCAAGCCAGAAAGGGGCTACCCCGCACCCTAATGCTCCTAAACCCTGAAACCTGCAAACCTTCGAAACACCAGCCTTAAACCCTGTGCCCTAAACCCCCAAACCCTAAACCCTAAACCCTACACCCTAAACCCTACACCCTACACCCTAAAGCCTAAACCCTAAACACTCCAAGTGCCCAGGCAGAAGGATGAGATGGTCCGAGTGAAGCCGATGGATCGCGTCGTCGCCATCAACGAGAAGCGGGGTACCGCGGAAGAACTCCTCGACCTCTTCAGAGAGACTGGGATCAGAGTTTCAGTGTTCAGATTGGCTTTCAATTTGGGAGTTTCAGAAAATTAGGGGTACCTTACTTTGGGGTCCTTCTAATAGGGATCCTATTATTTAGGGTACTATAGTAGGGTCCCCTATTTTCGGAAACCCCCATTTAACTCCCTATCGTTGTTGGTAGAGTCAGAGATGCTTCGTGTTCAGATCTCAGGTCTGGGAGTCGAGGCGTTTGT